TAAAAAGGCACTGAGCAAAACAGATTAGGACTTTGACTTGCTGCACCAGTTCCACTGCCATAACATAATTAAATAAGATGCTGTTGGCAAACAATCACATCATTTAAAGTATATACATATGCTGTATATGTTTTACCTCTTGAAATTTCTTGGGCTATATTCAGCTTTCCAATCTGAATATCTGAATATAATACTCAGGAAAAGAAAGAAGGAAGAAGAAAGAAGGAAGAACAAGGGAACACTTTTTAGAAACATCCAAAAAAGGGGATCTGTGTGTGTGTGTGTGTGTGTGTGTGTGTGTGTATTTCCTGTATATATTTTACAGGATATGCCAAAGCCTATAGCCATCATGGTGAACCTATGGCACACGTGCCACAGGTGGCATGCAGAGCCCTCTCTGCAGGCACGCGAGCTGTTGCCCAGCTCAGCTCTACTGCGCATGTGTGTGTGCCTCCTGCCTGCAAGCTGATTTTTGGGTCTCTGGCACGGGCGGATGCAGGAGATATGCATGCATGCGCCGGGGCCTTGTGTGCATGCACGGGAGTGGGAAGGGTCTTGCGCACATGCACGGGTTGTGGGGGGATCGCAGGGGGAGTGGTGCACCCTCCCATGCCATAATGGGCCACGGAGGGGTGTGTGACGTGTCCCTCCCCACAGCTCATTTTTGGTCCCAAGGCGCTTCAGGGAGGCTTGCCAGGCCTATAATGGGCCGGGGGGGTCATGTGCACATATGCGGGGGGTGGAGAGACTGCGGGGAGTTGCATGCACATGCAGAGCATGGGGGCTTCACGTACACATGTGCAGGGACCAGGGTGGGGGGGACATTGCATTATGAGTGTGGACACACATGCGCACGACCCCCCTCCCCCAGCTTTTGGCACGCTACAGCAAAAAGGTTAGCCATCACTTGCCTATAGGATAGCTCAATATCTTGGAAAGGCCTATGATTGCTTCATCTCATTAAAATGGTAAAACTCTGATGTCCTAGGTCTAGCTGACAAATCAGAAAGTATTTAGTGGCTAAGGTCATTTTCCTAATAACTCTTGATGAAATGATGCCTTCTTGTTTCATATGCTATGCTATTGTATGAAAACATTTTAAAGCAGAAGACTCTATGCTAGAAAAATGGTAAGGAAGGAAACTTGAAGATGTTGGGTGACTGGATAAGCAACAAAGGAACTATAGAACAGGCACCTAAAATAGCACAGGTACACACAGTGTAGTAAAGCAAACTTTCCAGATATGTTCCGCCCAGAAATAAGAGGGTCTGTAAGTAAAATCATCATGTGTCTTAAGAGGGATAGTCAATCAATATATGAAAGGTAGTTATCATGAAATCTTTTGAGTCCCTGTAAATAATCACAATATAGAAAGCTTTCTCTTCTCTTCTCTTCTCTTCTCTTCTCTTCTCTTCTCTTCTCTTCTCTTCTCTTCTCTTCTCTTCTCTTCTCTTCTCTTCTTTTCTCTTCTCTTCTCTCCTCTCCTCTCCTCTCCTCTCCTCTCCTTTTTCTTTTCTTTCATAGCATCAACCAATAAGAAAAGCTTAGTATTGTTTTCAGCTGTGCATTAATAGAACTTTCTATTATAAATAAGCTCTAACAGGAATTTGATTTATTCCCAGTTTAGTCAAACAAAGTGTTACCTTAAAATCAAATATCTTGGTCTTTTTTAAAAAAAATATGAAATCTTTGCACAGCAGTAGTTATTCAAACTTTGTATACAGTGTTGTGATTTTGTTGTCTGTTCTTTCTTTCTCTTCTCTATCAATTTACTTAACAGCCTTTTCTGAGTCCAGTAATCATCTTGAGTCCAACCCTCTCAACTCTATGATCTCTGAAGTCTGTAGCTCACATGACTCATATATTTGAAATTTTAAAAGAGTGTCATCATAGGTTCTATATTATCACTAACATATGGTCTTGAAAATAAAAATTTGTTGTCAAAATACCATGATTGAAAAACCAGTCATTCTGATACTAGAAAAAGTAATTTTATATACATGTAAGGCGAAGATTTTCTATGTGTGTATATTTAAGTATATCATTGTAAATTTTGTTGCAGATGCCAAGAAAGTTAAATAGTGTCTTCTTTCCTCCTCCCCATTTATAATTACCTGTGTCCTCCTTTGCCTGTTCATATATTTGGTCTCTATTCTATCATAGTGCAACCTAAATGTGTAGGAATTCTTAGCAGAGCATAGAGGACCCAGTCTACAAAGAAGACTATGTCATGGATGCACAAGTTTACCCTTCTCATATTGTTACATGTTTGCTTTGAGCTGGCAGTCTGAAAGTGAAACAATCAGTGAATTGCACTAAGAATCAGTGAATAAGCAAACAGATATTAAATATTTCAACATATTTAAATAGATTGAATCCTCTGTAATTTAAGTAACAGGTGTATCATAGTACTAAATAGCTATCAGCCTAGCTACCTGCCATTAAAATAATAGCTCTATCACCAAGGTCACCATATACAATTAGCTAATCCAAGAGAATGTCATACTTTGATATATATATACACACACACACACACACACACACACATACACACACATATATCTTCTCCGGAGACTCAGGGCGGCTTACAATGAGTTAAGCAATAGCCTTCATACTTTTGTATATTTATACGAAGTCATCTTATTGCCCCCACAAACTGGGTCCTCAATATATTGGATCTGTGTTGGGATTTCACAGAAATCCAATAACCTGAATTTTGTAATATGGATGCTATACATTTTAATACATTTTAATCTGAAGCTTTCATTTTTTGGTCACCTAATAAATTTGTTGATCAATCCATTTTTATTGGAGAACAACATGCAAGTATTCTTTAATTTTCATGTGAGATAGTCTATTGTTATGCTACACTGTTAATTTCTTCTCATTTGCAATTTGATAAACCACAGAGGATCTGAAATCACAACTTTTAGAAATGCTTGAATACATATGAAAATAATTGAATGCTAAAACCCTCCAATCAATGTCATTTCATCTTATATAAATACAATTTATGTAGAAGCTTAAAGTTCATATTCTGGTGTTGGAAAGTTCAGTACTGTTTCCATTCTTCAGATTAGAAAAGTGTCATGCAAAATTTAATGGAGATATATTCCAGAATAAATAAACTTGCAAGAAGATGCTTCAATTTTCATATATTTATTCTCTCCCCACAAAAATAAGCTGTTTAAATCCAAAATGCACTTAAAGCTATAAGAATTATGCTAATTTGCCCTCAGTGTTTGTTTTCTGGTTTGCCCTTCTCCAAAATTTGCTCTTTCTTCCTTTCCTCTCTCATCTCTCCCTTCCTTTCTCATCCTCAAAGGCAGGTACAGTATTGTCCTTCTTATGTCTCCTTGCATGTTGTTTGAATGATATATAACAAACAAGTATTTAGATATTAGTTGTAGAAGGGTAATGTTACAGGTATGCCAACACAATTGCTCTACTAAATAGTGTTAAGCAGCCGTATTGTTACATTTTTCCTTGTCCAGATCAGACCGACAAACTCTTGTTTATTTTGCAAATCTGGTAAAGAAAACAATAGTGACGTTAAGAAAAATTACCCTGTCAGCACACACTGAACATATGCAAAGTTGTCTATCTAGCTATCTATCTCTGGTCAATGCTCATTTTCTTTTCTTTTCACACTTGCTACCATCATGTCCATGTATGCCTTTGATGATGTGCCTCTTGAGACATGTTGTATCCTTCCAGCTGCTGGTTTATTTGACAATCTATCCAAAGCTTAGTTAAGCCAGTTCAATAAAGCAAGTATCTAAAACACTTGCTATAGGAAACATTCAGTACCTTGTCTTCAAACACCATATTTTGTAACTAAAAGGGTGAGTAGAACCTGTTTGTAGATAAATATGACATTTTCTTCAGAAAAAAAAAATCCTGCATTGTTGTTGTTATTAATATTTAGAGGCCACTTGAGTCTAGAATGATCTGAATGGCTTACATTTAGAAGATAGAAAGTAAATAAATAACAAAACAACAACAACAACATGTTGGACTCAAAGATGCAAGAATTGCCTGGAGTTGCATTTGAGTAGTTTATCTATTGTTATTTACCTACAGACAGAAATTATCCAAACTAAAGCAATTACCTGCATAACTATAAAAAAACCTCTCAGGAATGCTAGGGATAGTTTATCTTTGCTCTCTTCCTACCTATCAGAGAGTCTTCCTAGCTGTCAGACAGGTAGGAAGACTGTGCAAATGCCACAGTCTCTTTGCCCTCTGGGAAGGAACCCTTCCCTCCTATGACTCAAGACTTCAATTGTTACATAACAATTGATATGTATCTGGAAAAACCATACTCTGTAGACACAATGAAGAGGAGCTCCACAACTACGCTATTCTTAGGACAGGAAGAACAGCCAATTTTTTAAAGACTTCCACAGAAATATGTCATTTCAGAGGGCACAAGCTGAAGCAGAGAAAAAACATCTCTTGGGTTCTGTTAGATAGTATTGCAGGATCATCAACTTACCAGATGGGCTAAAACCAGGAGAGATGGCTTCTGATTACAGTAAAATTTGAAGGCCAGAGAGAAGAGATATAACCATTACTTACTGTATTATAAAATAATACAGCAACTTGAAACTCCCCAGATCTTTTCTGTTATCTTTAAATCCAAACAGTAAGATCAGTGGTCAAGTGTAATGGGAGTTAAAGTTAAAAACATCTGCAGTGCATCAGAGAGGTATCTACGATAGTCAGCAAAAGTAACAGAGTACTGTGGAACTGAAAATTTCTGCCATAAGAGTTTATGGACTACACCAATGTCACTTAGCTATATGGAATAGCTCTTGAGTACGTGTGTGATTTATAATGATAAAGAATGAAAATGAAATACAGAAAATATTACAGAATATTACAAAATACAAAAGAAAGAAAGAAAGAAAGGAAGGAAGAAAGGAAGGAAGGAAGGAAGGAAGGAAGGAAGGAAGGAAGGAAAAGAAAGGAAGGAAGGAAGCAAGGAAGGAAAGAAAGAAAGAAAGAAAGAAAGAAAGAAAGAAAGAAAGAAAGAAAGAAAGAAAGAAAAATTGTACACACCTTGTACATTATTTTCACTAATGTAAGCATTTTCCTATGCTGTTTTCCTGATACATATGTATTTTTCACATTTCTGATTGAAGAATTGTGTCACTAAGCTTAGAAGAAATATAAAGATCAAAATACAACTGTATTTATGACTGTAAACCTATTTGGTATGTTATTAAATAATTAGTAAGTCTGCATTAAAAATGCAGTTCAAATTGATTTTGTTTCTATGCTAACTTAGCTTGCTCATGCTCTTAATTTTGTACAAAATGTTGGAATAGAAATCGCTGATAAAGAAACTAAATCTTATTATAGGAACAAAACAAATTTGAGCTGATAACTATAAAATATATTATAAAAATAAATAATTATTTCTATATAAATTGAACTCAATTTCTGGTGAATATATGTGCATATTCTCTAGGATGCTTTCTTGATTTCCCAATCAAGACCATAACTTTAGATCTGATCTTTCTCAGTGTGCTTCGATCAGCCAAGATTGGCTTAGTAATGCATCAAATCTTAAATTGGCATTTATTAACATGCACATATAAGATGATATAGAAAAAGAAATATGAAGGTAAAAAAATTGAATTAAAAAAAAATGTTGTTGCTAATATAGTCTGCATTTCATTTTTTATCTCTTTTCCAGAAGAATCAGTAGCAGGAAAAAAACAACAACTGGTTAGTTCAGATTTTGATGAATCATTTATGATAAACAATAAACAATTGTTGCCTTCCCAAGATTCTGGTGCTTTAGTTGTACTGTGACTACAATCTCACAATTCACATGACAGAAATTAGGAATTCGTTTTCCCCTAACTGGATTTTATCATATAATGATAATTAAGATATAATGATAAACATATTTGGGGGGCATATTTGTTTCCTCCATTGAAAATCTGATTGTTTCTTTTGCTATTTAAAAAACATTTTAAATCCTAAAGAATCCTGGCATCTTCTTCTGGAGCTGTCCTTCAAAAAAGAAATGAAACTACTGCAAAATGATAGTGTTTGGAAACTTCCTTTGGATTTTCAGGAAATATTCCAAACAGTATTGATCAAGTGGATAATGGTCACTTCAATTTCATGGCTAGATTAACCATGCCTTACTTAGAGTTTTTGTAACCTTTGTCATATAAGAGACTGGATAATTTGAAGAACAATCAGAAATCCCATTCCAAATTATGATTTTTGTTTCTTTTAACAAGCAGGATTTAAGACATATTTAAATAAAACTTTTTATTCTTCTTTCCTCTTCTAGACATTTGTTTCTGAATACTGCTAGAGAGCCATCTGCCTCCCACATCTTGAAAATTAGTTTAATATAGTTGATACTGTAACTCTGAAACTTCTATAAATAACTTGCCTTTTTTTCACCCTGAGCAACACTTTACACTTTTCCAATTAAACTTTGAAATATGAGGGTTTTTAAAAAATATGCACATTAAGAAGATTAAATGGTTTTTATGTCCTTAAGAAGTAAATGTATTTTTAATGGGAAAAGAGCAAATTTGGTGAGTCAATTGTATCTTTCAAAAATTGACATTTTTGAAAAGGAATATCTGACTATCATATATTCAAATCTTATAAAAAGTAATTAAACAAGTAATCAGTTTACTACATAAAAAAATCAAACCAGTGGGAGACAGCAAATGATGCTGCCTCTTCTCTGAAAACAGATCCTTCCCAGGGTTTACAGAAGGAACATATATAACGGTGCTCTTCAACCTCAAACTCTTAGCTGAAGTTTTCAGCATGTTGCCAAAAGGTTTTGTGGAATAATAAGGTGGAATATCACATTAATTGTATTTTATTTTTAAAATGTGTTAAACAATGTTTCTGATTTTGGGAATGTTGGGAAAGACTCAAAATATATGTTTTAAGTTATTCATTGTGTTGTTTCTTTAGAGCAGGGATATGCCTGCTCTAAAGATATGCATCTGGCCTGCAGCCATGCCCAGTTTAGCGAAGGGGAAAAAAGTCATGACACATCATGTGACAATGCCATGACGTGAGTTTGACACCCCTGCTTTAGAATAATGAATATTTAAAACAATCATAGTGACAACATTTAGAATGGATAGTAACTCTATATCGATTCTCTGTTGTCATCTATTTAAGTTTAGGTTTATGCTAATTGTGGTAAAGCTACAATTCCATACCCTCTTACTTATTTTCTTATTTTAGTAAGAGTTACTAAACATTAAAAAAAAGACATGTATAGAATGCCTATGAACAATTATAGGTACTATTTGATTTTGATTTTTTTATATAATTCTTGTTTTGGTAGAAATCTGAATTAAAGTCTGTCTTCCCCCAAAAAGAACAAATTAATTCTAAATTATTCTTACATTTATTTTACTATTCAGAATTTTGGAGTTTTGATACCAATACATGTGATAGAATGTACAACTGACACTGGGATGGATGATGCCTGACCATTTTAATTGAAAGCAGAACCAATACAAAAAGAATACCTGGAAAGGGGGGAATGAGAGAAAGGGGCTTAATTGCCTTAATTTCATTAACTGTAAGTGGAGTTGACTTTCAAGATTCTTTTATAATTCCCTACTGCATCTCTCTCTCTCTTACACACACACTCATCTGTCTGTGATCTATATCAATATCTATACATACATATATGTTATGATCATATGGTTGTATCAACAAAAAAATGCCAAAGTTCTCCTGATAGGAAGAGAGGAGGAACTATTGTAATCATAGAACTAGCTTCTTATAGTGGCATATGATTTGCTGGGTTTTCCTGATATCCATTTTTGGGAAGAGAATTTTACTGTAATAGTCAAAGAGTCAATTCTTTGTGATTTTTTTCCTTTAGGAACAGATAAATGTAAAAAGCTTATTGAAGTCTTCATGAAGGCTGTAGTATTCAATGCTTGTCTAGAAAATGCCATATACTCAAATCCTTCTCTGTTGGCCACTTTCTTGGAATATATCACTTACACATTTCTTACTGTGCCTTCTGAACTTATGTAAATCAACCAGAGAAATTTAATTTTCAACAGCTTACTCTAATGAAACAATTGTTCAACTTGGAGAAGTTATGTTCCTTTTATATTTCATATTCAACTTCAGCTTTGTCCCATAATCCTAGGGAAGATGAAGAAATACCAAAATTGAGATGAACAGTTACACTGGTTAAAAATACATATAGCTTGCCCTCTTTTTACCCCCATGATTGTCTTAAGTAACTTCTGAGATACACATCTTATTCTTTTTCCTGTTTTATTTTTGACATTCGATATAGGCTTCAGGATTAATAAAATTGACAATAATAATAATAACTATTCTTTTTTTACACCCAGTTGCAAAATGTTCATAACTTTAAAAAATTTAACTGTTCTAAATAAAATGAAGAGTAACTGCATATTTGCAAAAATAAATTAAAACAGTAACAGGGTATAGTAGTCCTTCACTTATGATGATAGACAAGCCTGCCCATATGATTGCCTTGCTTAACAACCCCATCCCTTCTCTCTCCTGCAGGTCCTGGAACTGCTTCCCATCTCACTGGGGCCATATCTTTCTCCCCATCCCCTTGCCACTAATCAATCACTTACTTTTTACTGATATCTTATGAAAAGCAACTGCAAAGATTTCCTACACAGTGGGTTTAGGTTGGAGAGGGAGTGCAGGCAACTCCCACCCATCAGCTTACCGGCAAGCCATGTGGCTCTGTCCTGAACAAAGCCATAATTCATTGTGACTTGTCAAATTGGCATCCACTTCTGGAAAGGACTATATGGCCTGCAGGAAGTCCAAGGGGCCCTCCTTCCCCGTTGTGGTCTCTGCTGTTCTGGAACTCTGGAAATCATTCTGGGAAAAGAGATCAGGCTGCTCTACCTTCCGAGCATCTGTAGGCCACATGCTGCTCCAAATGGCACCCACTTCCAAGATGGATCCATGTGTATTTTTCTGTACTTTTTTGACTTGGTAAATTAATTACAAAATTTTGGAAAAATTGACTCGTAGCTATATAGCTACAGGGATCATTCTAAATCTAGGACATTTCCTAAGGTGCCAAATTTTGCAAACTACACAATAAAATCTGATAATGTTAGTTCATTGTTATAGAACTTTTTCTTTCTACACATTTTGAAAACATCCACAATGTCGGTTGAGTGTCAATGAGGAGCACAAGAACCAGTGGTGGGTTGCTCCCGGTTCTGTTTGATTCTATAGAACTGCTAGTAAAACTGGTGGAAGGCTCCGCCCACCTGTCACGACATCATCATGGGTGTCATCCTCTTGCGCGCATGCTGCACACCGGTAGTAAAGGTAAGTAGAACCTACCCCTGACAAGAACCAGATGTTGCATGCTGTGAACAAGAAATTATCATTGCATTACCTAATACCCCAGGGACCTAATAATGCAGGCAGTCCTTGCTTAGCAACTAAGGGTATTAGCAACTCAGTCACTAAGCACCATTGTCATTAAGTGGAGAATCATCTAACCTTGACATAAATTTTATTTCTGCATTTTCCATTAGCTCTGCTTGTCACAAGCTGGTAGCAAAGTGCTTGAATGATGATCACATGCACCATGAGGATTGCTCACAAAGCTATTTTTACACCATCGTCACTTTGGACAGTTGTTAAATGAGGCAGCCAGAAAGTAGGGACTACCTGTATTACTGAAGCAAGACAAAGGTCTGAGAGAAAGAGACCAAGCCAGCAAGTTTTGTGGCTATCACCTTATCAGTTATAAGCAGTAATGGCACATTTCATGCACCAGTAGTTCCACTTGAAAGTGAAATATAATTTTGTAGAATTGTTACCTTATGACAAAAAAGGGCTGATGTAATTAAAACTGATTTAATAATTTACTGTGCTACAAAATAAATGGGGTGAAAATGTCCCCCACAGAAAGAAAAAAAATGTCTAGAGATAAAAATTGTAAATATAAAGCTCAAATACTCAAATAAAGAAACAGGAAGGCAGAGTCTGTGAATTTCTTAACAAAATCAGAAGATTACCCAAATCATGGTCTGAACCAAAATAAGACTTTGCATATGACACCAAAATATTTATAGCCGGCCCTGATAGCTATGTTTTGAAATTTAAGTCATATATATTTTTCTTTTAAAATGTGACAAGTACAAATTTCCTTTCCATTGATATTCTCATTATATCAAGGTATATTTTTATATTGCCCGTTCTAATATTTCTTACATTTTTTTCCTGTTACAGCTGTTTCTCATTTTTTAAATTATGGAAGAACCAAAAAGAGCTTTTGTTTGTATTGTTGTATATGAAAACTTAAAATTGACGTTGGTTGCCATTTCTCACAATTGTTTTATAGGATTTTAATATTGCATTATTTTGCACATAGGCTAGCAAGTAATTTTCATTTTGAACACTCCTGAAAAAAATCTTAGTGTTAATAAACACTGGTCTATTGTATACCATAGAAGTCATGTTTAGAATTATTTTCTTTTGCCATGATTGCTTAACCCTCTCAAGGACAAATATTAATACTCATAAGACATTATAAACTTTAAAAAAAAAAAACGAATACCAAATAATTGGAGGATATTGCAAAAGATATAATGAGTACTAATCTGTGCAGAAATATTTGAGAAGTAAATTCAAGAATAGCTTAATTTTGTGCAAGAAACAATTCAGAATAGCCAAGATAAAATGAATAATTATATCATCTTTTCTGTGAAAAAGCTTTCTGCAGATAGTTTGGAAGGGTATTTAAGACTTATGTTTGCATG